AAGAGGGATATTTTTGTTTTTCTAAAGCTTTCTTTTCTGGTCACATTTTCAATACATTGGTCTCGTGCATCTTAAACATCACTTGGCAATCCTGTGCTTCTGTGCTTCCTTTTTGGGAGTAAATAAACCTTCTAGCTCAAGAAAAGAGAAAAATAAAATATGACAAGGCTGCCCCTTTGTGGTGATATGTTTGCTTTCTCTCTCTCTCTCTCTCTCTCTCTCTCTCTCTCTCTCTCTCTCTCTCTCTCACACACACACACACACACACACACACACTGCAGCCTATTTTTATAAACACTATGAATTTTAGCTTTATTTAAGCCTCCTAAAATTTGGGAATCTTATGTTTTAGTTTCAAATTAATGCTATAAAATTTTAATTGAATTATAACTCCTCTTAAAAATAAGAGGTTCTAATGTCCACATTTATATCAATGACAAGACACTGAAAAACATATTTCATCACTATTTTATTTAAAATATTTTTAAATAAAATATTTTTAAATAGTGATGTCTTTAAATAGTGGATTATCTTTTTAGTCATAAAATCATTTCATACCCATTTGAAATAATGGTAGCACTTCAATGTCTTGCCCATACAATTGCTTTAGCAGAGATAAGTTGGACTAGTCTGTTCTGAGATTTATCACCGCTTCTTTATTTGAAACTTAAAACTGTCTCACTTTAAAGCCAAAAACTCTTGAAAATGGAAAATGATTTTTCAAATTAATAATTCCAAAGTATAAGTCTAAAATAGTGATACAAATAAGATTGGGCGGAGTGGCAATGAGGACCAGGACAGAGAAAAACAAAATAAGAATTTGCTTATTCTTGTAAAACAAAGTAAGTTTTTCTAGGGAATCCTTTGAAGTATGAGTGTAAACAAAAAATGTATTTTTATTAAAGTTAGAGAGTAAACATGAATATGGTATATAGTTATATCTAATATGGAAACATAATAATGTAACTAACTAGCCTATTCTGAGTTAAAAAGTAGATCGATCATATATGTTTATCGCCTCTAGCTCTCAATATATTGCTAAAATGAAGGGAGGAATTTTTTTCTTTATAAAGTTATTAACCCACAGAAACAATTACAATGGGCTTGAAGACAACAGATGATGAGATATTCCAATGAATTTTTGGGAGGTGAAAAGTAGATGGAGGACAGTACAGAGCAGGAGCCCCAATCCATGTGGCTGAGGACACTAGGAGCCAAAGGGAGCCCAACCCACTCCCCTTGCAGAGCCCAGGGTGCTGCCTAAGGGAGAAGGGAAGGAAAAAGCTCAAAACATGGAACTGAAATCAAGTCTTCAGGTACTTGCTCACACCCAAACATGGCACTACCGGTAAATTGAATACCCTCTGTCACTAGCAGAAAAACAGGTCAATTTTCCAAAGTAACAATGAAAAAGAAACCAAACACAGTGGAGCTGAACTCACAAGAATTCAGTGGGAAGCAACTGAACGTTGCTCCCTGAGCCCCCTTCATTTGTGTTACTTCCTGATTGACAGCAGACAGATGGACACTACCTCGGGCAAAATACTGAAGATGCTCGCTCTAGGAAAGTTTAATGACTTTGGGGGTCTTCAAATGAAACACTCTTTTATGCTCTAAGGAAGTCTACCAGGTGACAGGCTTAACTGGAACTCGCTTGATAGCCTTTTCTCAGTGTCCAATGGGAACTACAGATCAAACTAAACAGGAAAAAAAAAAAAAAACATAGAAAAGATAGACCTAGAAGATATGGAAACGATGCAGGATACTGAAGAAAAAAAAAAGTCTGTATTATCCTGAGAGAGAATAAAAGCAGGATTCCCTGAAAAATGGAAGAAAAAGATGAAAGTTGGGGAAATTAAAAAAAATAATAATAAAAATAAAATATTCAATAGAAGTATAAGAAAATGAAGTTGTGGAAATAACTCTAAAGTAGAACAAAGAGACAAGAATTATTTTAAAAATTAGGAGATTATTTAGTATAAACATCGAAGACTAACACAAATATTAGAAGGGGAAACAGAGAAAGCAGAGGAGAGAAAAGCAGTGAAGAAATAATTCAAGAAAATTCCCAGAAGTTTTAAGTCTGCAGACGACAGAGCATACCTAGTTCCAGACACAGTGAATGAAGAGACCTATCCAAAGCAGAGGGTAAAGAGAACATCCTAAAAGTTTCCAGAGAAATAAAACAGCTCACGGATCAAGCAATGGGAATCAGAATAGCCTTGGATTTCCTAAGAGCAAAACTGGATATTAAAAGATTGAAGTAACGCCTAAAAAATTGAAAGGATAATGATTTCCCTCTGAGAATACTATACCCAGCTGAACTACCAATAAATTATGAGGGTCCCATAAAAATATATTTTGACATGCAAGCATCCAAAAATGGTAACTTCCAAATGACTTTTCTTAGGAAAATACTGGATGATAAACTTCAGCAAAATAAGGGAGTTAAAAAAAGAAAGAGAAAGGCATAGGTTATAAGAAACTGAGATTCTAATAAGAAAAGGAGTAAATAAAAGTTCCAGGGCGAAATTCAAATCTGGTCTACATTACAAGTAGCTGCAGGAATCGGTTGTCCGGGAAAACAAAATTGAGAGTAACTGTCATGTTTGCCCATGTATAAATAGTACAGAGAACCCTTCATAGTGATTTTGGAAGATTTGGGAAGAAGAACTAATAGGTATGTAAAAAACTAGGAACACAAACAAAAAAGAAGATAATTACTAACTCCAAGAGAAACAAAAAGGTCACCGAGGAAGGAAAGAAAATCAATGTTGAACGATAATTACACAGTAGTAATAATGTAAATATTGAATATTGATTTAAGCCCAAGTTGTGCTATAATTGTATTGGCAGGATGGTAGATGGGGAAGAAAAGGGAATTGGAAAACTAAATCCTCACTGTCACAATGGAAAATAGAATATGAGAAGAAAAGCAAAAAAGAATTAAAAGTGGTCATTTCAGGGAAATGACTGGGAGTCGCAAATGGGGAAGTTTCTCTTTATAAGCTTTTTAGCACTATTTTATTTTGTAAACTACTTTGATGCATGGTACTGATTAAAGAAAATAAATATAAAAATTAATTAAAATAAGTTTAGAAAGGAAAGAAATCAGGCTACTATAATAATAGATTAACCTCAGTGTATTGCAATGTAACCAAAGAAAATGATCGTAGCTAATCTTAGTAAGAAAATGAAATGCAGGGTTAGCTATCACTCAGGAGATATGGCCTGAATAGCCATCTAAAAAAGATTAAACAGATTTTTTTTTCTTATATATACATGTACATACATATATATGTGTATGTATATGTATATATCATATACCACATATACCATACATATACATACGTGTGTACATGTATATATCATGTACCACATCAAACATGTTTCATAGTATTTAATAATATATGTACATGTGTGTGCATATATATGTACACACAAATATATGTTCTATTTGCTATGAAGTTCAAATACATAATTTATAATAATCCTTATTATCTTATAAACTGAAATGCCTACATGTTTATAAATAGCAAAAATTCTTAATGAAATACAAATCTATTTTATACAAAGAAAAACAGTAAAAAGCTTAATGGTAAACTAATTTATAATTAATTTCAAAGGATTGAGCAAATGTGTGTCCGAGATGAAGATTCACAATTAATTTGGTCACATTTTGTATTTCACAAAGCTCTAGCTTGAAATATTTCCAAGCAATTTTGCATCGAAGGTTATGCATAGAGCTTCTATTTTAGTTTGCTCTTATCTTTTTAAACTAATATAAGATACTCTACTTGCAAAAATCTGGACAGTAAATCTAGTCGCTTTTATTGAAGACATGCAGTTTTGGTAAGTGGACATCTGGAATTGCCTTCATGAGGAAGTAGGTTCTTCTAAAGCTAAGCGAGTCAGCTTCGAACTGCTGTCATATAGCTCTTGCATCTGTAACATTTAGGGCAGCTGTCTCCAAAGCTGGGTGCCTAAGGCCACTACTGAGGGGCAGGGAAAAATATTAAAATCTTTACTTTGATTTTTGTATGGTACCCCTTTATATTTTATCTCTGTAAACTTCATGTACTACAGGATGATTATACAGTGATATATGTATAGAATTTATAAACGAGCATACATATAATGGCAGTGTACTGTCAAAAAAAATTTTTAATGATAGAATGTCATGATCAAAGGTATTTGGAGATCACTGGTTTAGACATGTCTCCCTGCTTACAGCTGGTGATCCACTAACAGTCCATGAGAGAAACAAGTGTTCATGAGTGAAGAAAGGTGGGAAAAAACTAATATATCTGCTAAGCTAAAAAGTTCATTTTAAGTTATGGTTGAGAATTAGCCAACTGTGGGGGAAAAAAATTAACATTCTCATTTATAAAATTTTGTCAAGCATGAGGCCTACCAGCTATAGGTGAAAATATTCTGATAAAAACTGATGTTGAAATATATGAATGGCTGGATTTTTCATAGCCTTTGATATGTAATTACATATTATACGTAATACATATGTATGATATTACGTAAGTGTATTACATATACATGTTACACTCATATGGTGCAGACTATGTTAAAATAGTGTAAAATAAAATAGTGTAAAATAGTGTAAAATACCCACGGGGTGGTCATAAAGCTTTTCTTTATGAAGTAGCTTCCTACAGAAAGACAATACCTAGAGACTATCCTAAGCATCCTAAGAGTAGTTTATTCCCTCATTTCTCTCATATGGGCAAAATACAACTAAATAGTAGCTACTAGTCTCATAGGAATGTTCGACTTAATTAAAATTTAATAGAATTTAAGTTTCACCTCCTTGGTCACACTAGTCACATTTCAAGTGTCCGATAGTCACATGTGGCAAGTGGCTACCATATTGGATAGTGCAGATAGCGAACATTCCTTTCAGTGCAGTTAAGTTCTGTGGGATAGCTCTGCTCTAGAATAATATTCAGAAATTTCTAAATTAAAAATTGTAAGATTTTTATACTTACTAACTGTTACTTTGTCCTTATCCCCCAACATAATGTTGTTTGGCGTCAGATCCCTATGGACGATCCTCTTCTCCTTGTGCAAGTACCGAAGAGCTAAGCACAGCTTGAAACAGCAAAGAAAAAACAAATGTTATTTCTCCCAATACACACATAACCACTGATGACTACTACATATGTTGCTAAGAAATCAGCTGCCATCTTTACTGTTCTATAGAAAAAATTAATGAAAATAGAAGTGTACCTGAATAAATACTTTCCATAGTCTTTCTTCAGTAAAATGATGTTGTTTTTCCTTCAACGAACTGAAATGCTCTCCAAGAGGGGCCCCTTCTATAAGCTCCATAACTATATACAACCTATCATCTAAAAAAAAAAGAAAGAGGTAATAGAAATTTAAACTCAATAAAAATATTTTGAAAACACGAATTAGAATCCATACTTTGCATTTGTGACAGCATGAATGGATCTTGTTATTATCATGCTAAGCTAAGTAAGTCAGACAGAAAAAGTTGAGAACTATATGATTTCACTTATATGTGGGATATAAAACTGAAAGCAACAAATAAACAAGCAAACAAAAACTCACAGACACAAATAACAGTTCAGTGGTTACCAGAGGGAAAGGGGAGAGGGAGAGATAGATAAGGGTAAAGGGGGTCAAATATATGGTGACAGAAGGATATTTGACTTTGAGCAGTGAACACAATGTGATATAAATATGACGTGCTATCAAATTGTAGACTCGAAACCTATACAATTATATTAACCAATGTCATCCCGATAGATTTAATTTAAAAAAAAAATCCAAGCTTCCCAATGAATGTATAGGACACAGCACTAACGAGTTAGACATGTATTAAGATATGGATCTATTCAGCCTTAGAAGAGGGAAATGGGGGTGTTGGGACAACTGGAGCCCCACAACCATCACTTGCAGCTACAAGCTACCTCCTACCATAAGTTTATATTGGCAAATATTATCATTTGCTATGTACACTGTAATGTGGAATGGCTGGGAGAAAAAGCTACTGATCCCAAGTCAGTGAAGATTCCCTGAAGAACATGTAAATCCATCTTTCCTCTCAATAGTCTAATATTTACCTTTGAAATTTTTACCCAAGTTGGACATCCAGAAAATTTTAAACTGCATTGTTTTGTAGTCTCAGAGATTTACCTTACAGAATTTTACAATGGAATCATGCCGTGGTCTTGCTATGAATGACACAGTTGAAAACAACACCCATGACAGAAATTTCTGTTATGTCAAGAGCAGAGAAAGCTGAGCTTCTCCGGGTTTTTTCTTGTGGATGCTGGAACTCTCATAACCGACTATGTTTGGAGGCCAAGAAACAAAGCAGTAAATTCTACTTTCTCCTCCAAAACCAATATGAAATTATTAACAATGGTTTGTGATATGTATCTTTTGTGATGTTTTGGATGTATATGAAATATGTATGTATACAATATTTACAAAAATGAAATCATACTATACATATTTTGCAACTTATAGTTTTTTTTTTAACATCCTTATGTGTCAGTACACACAGATCCATACCATTCTCTCTATTGGTTACAAAGTATTCCACAATACAGTTGGATCAGAATTTATTTAATCATTTCCCTAAAGAAAGACATTTATATTGTTTCCAATTTTTTCATAATCCCAAGAAATATTTATTGTATGTTCTAACCTTACTTCTGGCTTTATTTTTAATTTTCTCACCTTTTATTTCCTTTTATCACAATTTTATAATCTATTTTATCATATTTTATGTATGTTTAAGTCACTTCCAATTCTTTTTGTTGTAAAAAAGTCACTTCGACTTGTAAAAAGTGGATTTTGTTGTTTTTATTTTTAACTAAGACCAGTTGTGTCACTTTAGTACAAGTTCGAAGCCAATCTATATCTCTTTATGATAGAATAAGCACTAAATTACAGAAAATTATTCTAATATTAAGAACAAACAGCCAAGGGTTCAGGATTTACTGAAGAGTTTCAGCACTGAGTTGAAAGAGAGATGGGTAAAAATTGTAACATGTCAAAGTACACCACAGGTTTGCATAACAAGAGCACCTATAGAGAGGCAGTGATGAAGCTTCAGTATTTGCCTTGTACTGCTTAAATCTTACCTTCGGATGGAGATTTATCTTGAAAGTTCATATGTGACATACATCATTACAATTTATCAATATTTATATCAGTCAAAGGTCCTATTTTGTTTTAAATAATTGACCGTTTTGGCTTTATCTCAATGTTTTGATTCTGTATTCCATTGTCCTTGCAGAGTCTGTCTGCAGAAAGTCAGGGCTCTATCGCCACCTTGTGGTAATTACTTGAACTTTAAGTAAAAGAAATAAAGACCTAGCCCACTCCCAATTTATTTTGGAGATGAAAAAAGTCATCTAATTCAACAAAAACAACTTTTCATTTTTTCTTAAAGAAACCACTACCCTTTAGTTTTCTTCTCTCCTGATGCTACTGAGTTTTTTGTGTATTAAAATAGCTATAATAACTATTTTCGTTTGTCCATTCAGTGTCTCTCAATGGGAGTACAGGTATATATAACCAACTTTAGGTCATTGATTACTTCACTATTTCATTGATCAAAAAAGTGATGCACAAAATTGTTCACTCTCATTTAAACAACAAAAAGAGTGAAGAAAATAGTTGATTAAGCTTATTTTTTTTTAATTCTAATATAAAAATATGTAACAAAGATACTTTTCCTTAAGAAATATCATCAAAACTGCTACTTACTTTCCAGAAATGTTTTGTAATAGCGTACAACATTGGGATGATAAAGCTATAAGAAAATAAATAACAAACATTACACTATTTCAAAATACAAACTTGTTTTCATAGACAATTTAGTTGGACTTCATATTTTAAAACAACAAAGAAATTGTATTTATATTTATTTATATGACTAAGCAATTTAAGATATTTAATCGAGATTTTTTCATTATTCTTTTTATTTTCTGCTTATAAAACTAATCTGAAATTAGCAATTTCATAAATAGCCTTATCAAACAGAATTAAAAACTGATTTTGCTCTATCAACCTAATTTAACCAAAGTATAGAATTGTAGGTCTAGAAGGAAACTTAAGAATTCATTTAGCACCCTCTTCCCCGAAACCACACACCGATTGCAGAGAGAATAAAAAAATGAAGCAACTTATGTTGTATCATTGCTCTTCACCTCTCCTCACCATTTCAATTATTTACCTACACTGTTTATGTCTATTTACACAATTTGTTTATGCTCTCCAAAATGATCAGTATGAAACTGAAATAACCTGAGTTATTAACTGTTTGAATTACAGTCATAGCTGACAAGAACTATCTCTTCGACCAAACATTACTTAGGCGTCTCTGAGCCCTCTTTTGATGAGGCCTCATCCTTGGCCTGCCTAGTTTTAGCAAGAAGCCCGATAAGCCAGTTTAGCCAGAATCTCCCCATTCTTGATATCCAATTAAGTTCCTCACTCCGCCCCATCTTTATTATTTAATCAAGTTTCTCTTCCCCTAACCTTGATACCTGACCAAGTTCCTCTCAGTAGTTTTCCAGCCACTGACCCCTCACCATGCCTTTTGGGTATAATTTCTCAGCTATCCCTATCTGTATTCAGAGTTAACTTCAATCTCTCTCCCCTCCTCCAATAGTTTGGCAGTGGTCTTGAATAAAGTCTTCCTTGTCATTTAAAAGTTTTCATCACGAGAGAAAAATATTGTAACTACACATGGTGATGAATGTTATTGTGGTGATTATTTCAAAATATATACAAATATTGAATCATTATGTTGTATATCTGAAACCAATATGTTACATGTCAATTACATCTCAATTTTTAAAAAGTGCAGTAAAATATCTCTTTAACATAGTTTATCACCATAAGGAACACGGAAATTCTACTTTTTAAAAAAAAAGCCATATTCTACAAGAAATACTAAAAATCTTATAGTTGTTTATAATTTGAATTTTTAGGTAAATTGAATTTTTTTTTTATATCTCAGAATAGTGGCCATTATATCCACAAATGGCTTGCATCTCTTTTCGGTCTTTCTTCTTGCCTTTTTGAAGGGGAGTCAGCTAGTTCTCCACCAAAACTCTGCTCTCTCCTCCCTTGCAACAGCACTGTAGCAGGATGTGGCTTCCCGGCCAGCGATCGTTTGTCAGCCTGTCTCACAGCCAGGTGTGGGCCTAGCGCTCAGTCTCCCCAGCGGGGCATGAGGGAACCATGTGCACGCCCGTGTCCGAGCCTTCCTCGTGAAGACTGGCACCCCCCTCGCACCTCTCCCCTTCCCGCCTTGGACATGAATGAGCCCAGGGCGGTTCCAACAACTCAGATGGAGATAACGCTCTAGCAGGTGGCAGAGCAATGAGAGAGAGAGAACCAGTATCCCTCACTGTCTGCACGGAGCAGAGAACACGGCCAGCCCGGCCTGCTCCCTTCGGGATGGTTACATGAAAGAGCAGCAGCCCACTGTGCTGTGAGGCCTCTCCTTTAAGCCCCTTATTTCAGAGCCTCTTTGTTACTGCCGCTCAGTTTTAATCTTAACAAACCTACCCTCTCATTCTAGCCCCATTTCTGTCGCTTCCGTCTGCCATTACCTCCTCCTTTTAGGCCTCATTGTCATTATCCTTTCTGTCGGTTCAATCCTCTGGTGAGAATGCAGTTGTACAATTTTGAGTTATTGTGAATCAGATATGGTCCCACCCTGATACTTTCTTTCCTTAGGAAATGGGCTAAAACAAATAGTCTACTTCATCAACTAGCAAGTAGCCAGCAGATTTTAAAGAGTGTGGGACCAGAGAAGCAACCCGAACCATATTCCAGATCTAGCTCACAGGCCAGATTTCAGTTTGGGGCAGAAGCCATGTTCCAGCCTGTGTTATAAGGAAACAAAATCCTGAAAAAGCTGAAAGTCCCTAAGCATGAGCAAACACAAATTTTTAAAAATCTAACTTATTACTGTATAAAAATCAACTATAAAATAAGCTATTGATGATATTTATTGTAATTTAGAAATTGGACTAGAACTGTGGATTTTGACAAATAAAAATCATCATGTTCGTGGTGATCCTTATGTCCCAGCACAGCCGCTGTGCAAATTTAACTAGTGGAGGAGGAAGCTCAGTGAAATTGATAGTTCTTCACAGGAGTTATAAATGAACAGTGCTCATAATGAATGTGCAAATAAGGAAAGCTGAAAAAGAAACCAATGTGTTCTTGGATCGCGAAAAGAAATCCCATTTCTCTTCTGACATGTTTATTCTTTCTCTCCAAACAAACCTTCGTAATGATAGTTAATTAAGTTGTTGCATTATGTCAGAATGTTCTGCTTGTGCCAATAAATAATAACCATCTGGAAAATCCACATTTTAGATTTAATAAGCCGTATTTGAAGAATGTTAACAGCTTGGATCCACTTGATAAAAGTCAGGGGACTCTTAGTCATAGTCCTATGCATGTAACTCAGTAACCAAATATCCTGCAATAACGGGAAGAGAATGAATGCGCTTACGACGGAAAGAGAAGGGTCCCTCATACGGGATGCACGCTGGGCTGTGAACTCTGCTGTCCTGCACCCCTGCCCTGACAAAAACTCCAGAAAGTGTTCCTCTGGTCCAACATCAAGCCTTAGGGGAAAAGCTGGCTAAATTACCACCGCCTCAATGTCACTTATTTTAAACAGAACCAGTTCTTAAACAGCACAAACAAGAATGGCACAAGAATTCTACTTTCTTTTGATGACATTTATTTTCATAAACAAGAAAAACATGTACCTGCTCTTTAATTATGGTTAATTCAGACACAATGTTCTTCACACTGCTGTCTCGATCTTTTTTATCCTTTCCAAATGCTGGGTTATGTAAATTGACCTCTTTCATTGCTAAAAGATTTTGACCACTACGCTTTCTAACCTAATAAGGAAGACAAAAAAAAAAAAAAAGAAAAGAAAAAGAATAAGAAAAAGAAAAAAAGAGGTGGGGTAGAAAGAGGAAGAGAGATAGATTAATAAGGTCACATGATTAAACTGTCTTTTAAATAAGTCACAAAACTTTTAAAATTCTATCTGTATTTACACTCAGCTCAGCTCAAAAAATTGGTATTTCCTGGGTCAATCTGCAACATTCAACAGGATTTTACTGGGTAAATACAGAAACAGTGGTATGATCTAGAGAAGGTGACATGCATTGGGACAAGACATTTTGACTTTCTTTGATGAGGGATTAATAATGGCTTTGGTCTTCAAAGATTAGTGACCAATTTCTAGAGCTGAAAGCTAAAACAAGACAACATAGGTACACTACCTGATGGACAAAAACAGTCATTCAAATTTTTATATCTATTATTTACTACTTTTCAGTAAGAGAACTTCAACTCGACTGTGAGTGAGTGTGCAGGAGGGACATCCAGTTTGTTCAGGGATATCGGAAATGTTCCCCAAGGGCAAAGTCACCTTGTAAACACAGCCAAAAGCTCCACTTCCAAGATGATCCAAAATCGCATAGTTGCCTATATATTTCGAAGGAGCTTTATTCTGATTAATGCTTTCAATATTTTCAGCAATCTGCTTCAGCTCATCCTCCTAACCAAAAAAATAAAGAGGAAATGGGTTGCTATGATAAACTCCACACTGGCCACACAGCAGCCTGCCGAAATATTTAAAACTCAGGACTTACCACTAATAAATTCAATCTTGAGACCAATTCTTCATAAGCACTGATATCACGAACGTAATGTCCTATATCAATGAAGATCTCAAACAGGTCGGTGGGGAAAAGTCTACAGGGAAAAATACACATGTATACTTCATTCGAGACCTTCCTTTTCGGATCTAGCTCATTCACAGGTTAATTGTTGATAGTTAATTCCTTAGACTATCAACAAGGCGGCGAGAAATGAGACCAGCTTCTGTCACAAAAGTGAACTATACATACAGTTTGTAGCAGTAAGGAAAAACAAGCAGAAAGTGATAGAGAGCCGCTGACGGTTCACAGCACTGTACTGTACCCTCAAACATTTGTAAAGAAGGTGGATGTCACGTTGTGTGTTTTCTATCACAATAAAAAAATACACAAATATGGTGCAGATCACACAAAGACCTTATTTGTAAAACATTTGGGGATATAGGTACTAAACACATTAGGAAGGAATGTTTACTGGGTGCTTCTCAAGTACTGAGCACTTTCATAAATGCTATTTGATAGTAACTGTAGGAGGTAAATATTAGCCTAATAAGAGTTTTATAAAAACACAGGTAAATAGGGAAAAAAATGGAGAGATCTGTGCATTATTTCCAAAGTACTGGCTTCAGGGCTTATTAAAATCTTTAAGTCCTCTCTCGTGCAATGGATAGATAGCGCATTGGATTTCTAAAATCTTTAAGTCCACTAAAATGGATGATTCGGGGCCTTGAAATGAAAGGTGTTCATGAGTAACTAATTTTACTTTCTTTGCTTCCTCTAAACTCAAGCATCATGTAGAATTAAAGTAACAATATAAAATGTTCCATGCTTATGAACAGAAGATATTACATTAACTAAAGGCTATATTTCTATATTTCTATTCTGCCTCATCAGTAAAATTCTGCTAAGATTTTGGTTAACCTGTTCAACTAAATAGCATGCAGTCCACCCATTTAGATAACTAGTGTCTGCTTCCCAAGGCAGTGATTTTTCTGACACAGCCAACCAGCACAACCTCCTAACTCAAGAACATCCAGCCTCCTCTATTTCAAATGAGCTCTTAACCTATGGAAGATAGGCAGACAAATATGTTTTTTTTTTTTTTCCTATTGATTAAGAGGAAATGACTAGATCAATTCTGGAATTTCTAAATGGGCAAAGACAAGCACAGATTTTGATGGCATCCATTTAATATGTTAATGTCTAACAACAAAAAAAGAAAAAACTAAAATCATAACAGTCACATGCAATTAAGAAGAGTTATATTGATATAATGATTCATGGTCTTTCATCATTTTGTTAATTTTCAGTGTTAAGATATCACTATGGTAGTTCAGTTTTATCTGTGGGTTCTAAGGAATCTGAAGATACATGTTTTCCACCCTGATTCACTCTTCTCTTACTGCATCTAAATCAGGTATGTGAAAATAGTTCAATCTAGAGATTGCTGGTCACTTAAATTTCTCTAAGCTCATACCTTTTAAAGAGTGGCCTGTTTCTTTCCATACTGAAGAGAAATCTCAAGGCTCTGAAGGCATAACACTGGAAAACAGAAGGACACATGATTCTCAAATAGGAGTTCAATAAATTAAAACGTTTTCAGGATAGAGTTATCATGAAATAAATATTAAAGTGGCTTTATTGGGAGTGTGGCTGGTCTATATGGGAGCCAAAGCTTGCCACTGAAAACAAAAACCATGAACACCTGGGGGAGTTCTTGAATTTAAAAAGCTTTTATGTTGTGGTAATGATAGAGATCTGGGCCTTGTTTCACTCAGTGCTCATCATTAATTCCTTTCTAGAAAGTTCCATATGAGTGTAGAGACAAGAAATAAAATTCCTACTCTGAGAAAACCAAATGTACAAAGATTTCCAGGAGCTCAAGGTTTATTTTGTTTCTAGCCTGCTATGTATACCTCAATATTTATATGGTTTCTGTGAGAAAATAAACACTAGAAATGATGACATATAAAAATAGCCACAGGCACACTGGACTCAAACTTGACAAATTGGTCTCTTGAGTAAAGAGGCTTAAGCATTCCCCAAATAGAACAATCTACAGTAACTCCTGTGAACACTCAGAAAGAGGCCTGTGAGACTTTAAGGAAGAAAAATAAACATCTGACATTTTGCAGTGCCGAGAAAAAAAAAGAGAGAGAGTGTGAGCCCCCAGCCTGCAGATGAGCTGCCTAACAGGCTGCCACTGGGGTGATCGGGGTTTGCTGAATTCAAATCTGGATAAAATTAGTGATGTGAATATGGAAGAAGGTTCACAGACATAACTGCCCAGAGAAGCCAGGCAGATAACACAATGACACGAAGGAGCCTGGTAAGAGAGACGTGGCGACTGGAGCGGGTGGAGAATGTGCATGTTCCTCGAAAGCCATTTCGACGGGAATTTTTTAAAACCCTCTGCTGCTCACCAAAATGCATCTGCGGGATGGCTTTGACTTTCCCTGTGTTCCGGCACAGTGTCCTACATCTGTGGGGCACTGAAGAAATTAAGTCCCACTCCTGTATGTTCTCATCTGTAGCTCTCCAAAAACCTGTGGCTGCCAGCCCACAGATACCGCCGAAAATTCTCTGCTAGGTTTGACCGTCATTCTGGGCGATAGCTCTTAAATCAGACTGGAGGCAAAGGTTGTTTTGTACTTCCTTCTCTGACTGACTTGAAGAAAAGATGAGCTGCAGCTACAGCAAAGGTTTACTTCAAATCTGACTTCATCATTCCAGTGTCTTCGGGATACTGGCCCTTGACAGCCACTCCTCAAAAAAGCACAGAGGACTCCCCGTAATGTCTCCCTTTCTTACCTATAAGGCCTCATCTCCTGGGGCACCCACACACCCAACTGTAATCCTAGCCCCACTGAGCAACTGAAGCATGCTGTAAGCTGTCAGGCTCTCATACTTTGCACATGTTATTCCCTCTGTGTGTCATGCCCTTCCCCCCTATACCACTGGTGCCCTACTCATGTCCCTTTCTCCATTTGGAAAATCCCTTCTCATCCATCGAGATCCATTTTATAGGCTTTCCTTCGTAAAGGTAAAATGTGAGTGACTGTGGTTCATGCTTAAAGATGGTATATAATTTTCCTGTCATTGTCTTCTGATAAACAAGCAATACATGTTTTGTTTTGTTTTGTTTTTAAATAGAACTTATTGATCAGCAAGGAAATATCGAAATAAAATTGCCTAATTCGCTCTGGTAGAGAAATCACTGTGAAGCCTCTTTCACTGTTTTAACAGCATTTGCTTCCATGCCAGTTTTCCCTCCCAGTCAGTACAAGCACCAGCACTAACTTAAAAATTCTAAAAATCATAGCTTATATTATTACCAAAGTTCCCCCAGATTTCAGTAACTCGACAGTGAAGAACAATGGACATGTTTATTACCTGTAATAGATTAGTCCTTGCTGCATTCTTTTGTTTGGTTGGTAAAATTAATTTTGCTATTGTATACACACCATTTTCCTGGAGGAATAAAGGAGCCATGTTATCAGTGACCAGTGGCAATGTCATAGAACTCCACAGGCATAAAGAAGCAACTAAACAATCTCAAAAATTAATATTAAGAAGAAATATTAGTATAATCTTGGAACTTTAAGTAATTATGGCAGAACAATACTAAAAATGTCAATGTAACACTTTTACAAACCAAAGACCATAACCACAATCTTAAAATTCCAACTGTCTCTAAAGATTATAAATAATACAGTAATATCAATTTAAAGTGACTTAAATACTTTAAAAAACAGAGTAGGGGACAAAAAGGCATCTGGACATCTTTATAATCTTTATACATTGCATTTTAAATATTTATGAAATATAATTTCTCCCTTTATAGTTTTGTTAAATTCATTGCAATTATTGCAGAAAATAGAAAAATAAAAGAAACAAGAATAATAGATTAAAATAGAAAATGAATGTTATCCGTGAAAACACAGGGAACGTCTTCCTAGACTAAGACTAATACAAATATACACATGAAGGAATGAACAAAGCTACTAACTCATTGCTACTTTTCTGTTATCCATTAAATGCGTAATCCACTGAACTCTACGTGGACATGCATAATGTAACTGAAGAGTTTTACCTGCCTAACTGCATTTAGTCTTTATAGCTATTTGTGAATTAGTCTATATAACTTCCCTGTTTTATACATGATAAAACCAAAGCTTAGAGAGGGTAAGTCACGTTTCCAGGGGCCAAACCAGCAAGTCATGATAACAGGAATTGTTTTAGCAGCATTTATTTCCATGCCAGCCTCCCTCACCACGTATTTTTCCCTCACGGTCAGTACAGGCACCGGTGCTAACTCCGAAATTCTAAAAATCACAGATTATGTTATTAAAGCTTCCCCAGCTTTTAGTGATTTGCTGAGCTTCCCCAAGGGGCTCTAATTGCTGATAACCTGATCTCTTACTAACTTTTATGAACTTCTGTCATTTTGAAGTTGAATGGATATATTGTATTGACCAAAAAAAAAAAAAAAGTTTTCTCTGTAAAATTTAATAAGCATGAAGTAACTTTTATAATAGAAACCCATACATGGGTGGTATACATATGTGTGTATTTATATATATATTGGATGCATATACTTGAATTTGAGAGTACACACTTGATATACTTTTTAAGTGACTGCTACCCTTAACTCATGGTATCCCATATGCCCAGAATTAAAGAAGTTCAGAATAGCTTTGGAAAAAAAAAAAAAAAAAATGAAAAGGACTTCATATGATATAGGGAAGAAACACCACCAATTAACCACATGGCAGTTCTTTTCGAGGTAGGTAAGTTAAAGAAGGACAAGAATGTAAAATAGAATTCTGTAAGTTAAATAAGACATATTAAAATATATTAAAACCACGTGACGCTGTACAGCGTTGGGCCAGAAGTGGGGTCAGTCAATCACAGCCTGGGTACGGAGCCCCTGCCCTGGGGAGCGGCGCACTCACCTGAACCACCTGGTGGGCGTTGGTGTCATTGAGCACCAGTTCCGTGAGGGCAGCACAGCAGGCTGGAACGAAAACCACCAAATGGTCATGCCGGGCGTCACCGTGACGGTGCTACTGACATAGAGTTACAGCGATACACCAACTCCACAGGGAATTCTGTCAGCAGAGTCACTCCTAAAAAAACACTGATTTTCCTCCTGGCACAGCTCTGGGAGAAGGGAGCTTGACTTCTAATGGCTTCTGACTCTCCTCCTCGTGTGATGTGTGTGCATGCACACCCATCCCACAGCGGCTTTTTATTGAGCGCTTGCTGTGTACCAGGAGGCAGGGACTGCATCTGTCTGATTCACTGTAATCACCAGCGCTCGACCACTTAGCAGGTGCTCTATAAACACATCTATAAACAATGGTTGGCTAACCGAGAGCGGGCTCTAAAAATAGTATACAAATTAACTTTTATAATCAGAGTATACACTATGATTACCAGTTTACCAATGAGAAAACTGAGGTTTGGAAAAGTTATCAGACTAGGCCACAGAACTAATAATAAGAAGGGGCCAGAAGTCCGACCCTAGTCTGCCAGGTGTTAAATCCTGTCACCCGTCCTGTCGTAAAAAACGGCCACTGTGTCAGCTTCTGGTGGAATTCTATACTGAGCTGCTTCTGGTCCAATAGGAGTTATACTGGATTTTGTAGCACAGAGCACCTATAAAGGATAATGGCATTTTATCAGGCCCTTGCCAATGGCCATATGCTGTGCTATGGCCTTTACACATATCCTCGTATAATTCTCACAATGACCCTCTAATGCTGACATCAGGGCTACCATCACCATTCCACACGAACAAAGCCGAGGCTTGGAAAGGTTAAGGAACTCGTAAGATGATGTGGCCAAAAAAGTGGGTGCAGCCAAAACTCAGATCCTGCTCCCGACACCTCATGTTTTTAATCTTTTTAAAAATTTTTCATTGAGGTATAAAATAAGCTGTGTAGACATATCTCAAGCATACAGCTTAGTGAGATATTACATAACTATAACCCTGTAACCACTGCCACTGTGATGAACATATATCTCCAGTCCCCAAAGGCCTGTTGAGCCCCTCCCAGGTAGTAGTGTACCGTCCCTCAGTGGGTTACTGCCCTTCTGACCTCTACCACCACCAATCTCATTCACTCTTTGTGAGAGGCCCAGAATATTAGGAGCTCTGATTTCAGTTGGATTATACTTCCTGGAAGTCTTCCAACAGGAAGTTCCCAGTAAGAGCCTTTATGTTGAAATAGAGGCCTTTTAGAACAAGTGGAAATGACAATTCAAGCAGGGGATCCTATTTCCCTGACCTCAAGCCTGTGAACAAACATCTTCTCCACTCTCTAGGAGCAAACATTGCGGAACAAAGCAAGTCTGCCCTTCTCCTTACCTCCTTCTTTTCAACCCCTGCCACATCTGCTCTTCCCCTCTTAGGGCCTGCCTGCCCTCCTGCTGGCCCACCCAGTGCCTCTCTGCTCCCTTCCTGCGGACCACTGCTGGGCACCCAGCTTGGTCAGCAGCGCTGTAGCCCCACCTGCACGAAAGGGCACAGGCTACAGAACTGTTCAAGGTTACGCCAAACTGCCAACAAATGTATGCGTGCATCCCTACGCCTGCTTTTGCATGGGAATCCCACACAGGGCAGCATCTCTGTCTTCTCTTTAGGAGCTCACGAGGTGGGAGGAAGGCACTCGCTTGCTCCCTGTGGAATGGGGACGTGCACTGCAGAGTCTCCCTTAAGGAGGGTGCCCTGAGACCTAGAAAATAATAGGAACCATGATTCTGAGCACAGACGAAGCTGCATTCTCTAATCCAGCTTTATTAGTAACAAAGCTAACATTCTGATCACTTTTATGTCTGAGTTCTATCGGTGACTTACTTCTTCATGCGTTCGGAACACGGAAGGGAGAGAAGAGTCGGTGGTACCGCTAACCTGCAAGTCCAGCACTAGCGCCAGCGATTCTGGGGCATCCACAGGAATCTAACTTCACATTTTTTAAACTTATAAATCATGCCTAATTAATGCGATCATACTAATTGTATAACAGAATAAGAAGACAATATAAGATTAAAGAATATCAAATAATAAAACTTAATAATATGATATAAATACCTGCTTGAAGAGAGAAAGTATTTTCCTGTATCTCCCGAGGGCTTAAATCTTCCGACAGGTGAAGCTGCTGGATTCGGCCTGCTGCATTTGCGCTAGACAAGCTTCCGATGGAAGAACGATCTGAAACAAAATTTCTGTCTCTGAAAAAGAAAAGTTAATGCACAAATTGATTTATCAATTTTCCTAATGAGTGCTTTCTGAGTCTTCTTTTTAAGAAATCTTTACCTCCCCAAAGTCATGAAGTTTTCTGCTGTGTCTCTATTGTTTGACCTTCCAATCCACCTAAAGTTGATGTTAGTATATGGTGTGAGATAAGAGTCCCTTCCTTCTTTGCTTTCTTCCTTCCTTCCTTCCTCTTTCCTTCCCTCCCTCTCTCTCTTTCTTTTTTCTAAACATGGTTACTGAACTGACTCGGCACCATTTATTGACAGGACCACCCCCTCCCCACTGCTCCACGGCCACCTTTGCTTTCGAACACCATTCTGCCGCAGTCGATGCTCCTGAATACGTCTCAGTCTTCACCAGTTTGTTTTCTTTTTCCATGAAATTCCAATCTTCCTTTATTTTAGGAAAGTTCTCTTCTATTATATCTTTGAATATTTTTTTAATTCATTTTGCTTCTAACTCAGGGATATCAATTATCCACACGTTGAAAACCCATCTTCTGCTGGCCATACCTTTCACTTCCTAATTGCTCTCATTCCTTTGTCTTTCTCCCTACGTGACGTGTAATTTTGTTCAAGGGTGCCCGTCCTTTTCCTAATTCCAGTTTCTAGTGAATGTATCAGTTCCGTGTATGTCACTCAGTCCTCGTCTTCTTCCTCAGCTCTGCAATCTCTCTCCTCTCTGCTTTATTGTCCTCTCGTCAGGTCTTTAACCTCGTTTTATAAATTTCATGTTCTGTTTAACGTTCGACAAAAATAAAACATTTCTTTCTCCATTTACTTAATGCAACATCTTCCACCACAGATCCTTCACGTCTTTTACCTGCTTAGTTCCATTTTGTTTCACTCAGTTCCCGCATTTTTTTCATTTATTCATTTTCTATGGCAGCAGCTCTATGTGGATTTCTATGTTCCTACATATAACACAGATAGAATCTCCTTGGCTTCCCTCCCACGTCATCTGGGCCCACGAGTGTCCTCCCTTCACTGAGCACAGGGACAGGAATGGAGCTGGGCCTACGAGTAGTCATAATCAGGGATCTTGTCTGTTAATATAATTATGCCAAAACTCGAATTTTAGAGATCACGCCACATTATCAAGAGTATATAGCCTTTCAGGAACCGCCTTCGAGTTTGGGATCGCAGGTGGATGGGCATGAACAGGTTTCCTGGAGCTGCCCTGACAACAATGCCTGTTCATACTCATGCCAGCAGACGACCTGGCAACCTCCACCTTTGGAACCTGCTCCAGGCAGCTCGGGGGAAGGAGCAAGCTCTGGAAGGATAGTGTTCACCAGCTGGGGTAATAAATTCTCCCACAGCGTGAAGATATATTTAACAATGAATAAGTGCTGACATCTATCATCTTCCTAGGAAAGAGTTTTCTAACATTCCACAGTAAAAACGTACTGGCAAAATGACTCTTCAGATGTGAAAGAACTCTATTCTATCAAGGATAGTTACAGCTTGAGAAAAAGAGGAAAAATGGTGCCTCATACTTAACTCAATTATATGTGGTAAAAAAAAAAGTAGGTTTTTCCTTGAAATACTGGTTAACTATTATAGAATTTAATTTTATCATCAAGAAAATAACTGCTTTCTAAGAGGGCAACCCTGTTGTAATGGGCATATTGACAAATAATAATAACCACCATCACTATCAGCATCACCATCATCATCCTACAAACTCGAGCAAACACAAACTTTTGTCAAATGTAATTATTTTGACCAAGGGGCTAGCTTATTATTATGCCATAGCATTAATGAAAGATTTATAATTTAAAGTATTTGAGATTTTTATGTGATATTCATAAAAGCAAGTAGTCAACAGTCTATAATTTTTTCCTTTGTTTTGGTAATAACAGCAATCACTAACAAAGCTATGGTTCATATCTCCACAGTCTGCTCTTATGCTTTGGAATATTCCCTCAGAGAAAATGAAGTTAATAACACATAGTTCCACAATATTTTTAGAAACATAACAAGCACAGGGTCTGCATAATATTGATTTGATAACCTCTAGTCATATTAAAATTGATATGTCACTCTGCTTTTATTAGCATGAGCTTTAGTTATGTACCGTAGATCATAAATATGAGCCCTCTGAAGCAGATATGTTCCTTTCCAACTTTGATTAAATACCTACAGGGCTGAATTATACTTTATAATAAGTAATAGAACCTTCCCCTTGATGGTACCAAAATACGCTATTATTCAATACTTCGATATATCTACTATATTGTATATATTGTATATAGTAGAGATATATATATATATATCTACTATACACAGAAGACACACAGGGCCCCAGCAGCAGATCACCATCCTATAACTGTAATTTTAATGCATTCTGTTATATAGCCAGAAGTTAAAACTCCACAGCATACCTCATTCTTATAAAAGTTATAAATTTCTTTCAATAAAAATATATATATACATGTGTGTATATATATATCTCTCTCTATATATATATCTACTATGTACAACATATACAATATATACAATATAGTGGTTATCACAACATCAAGAAAATTTCAACTTAAAAAGTATTTTAGCAAACCATTCCTTCCCCATATTCCTGGCTTTGAATGTTATTGCAATGTTATTTTTAAAAGAGAGATAAATAAGGTGTTAACCCACCTTAGAGCACTGTGATGAAAATTAGAGAGAAAAGAACAACTGGACCAGGGTCAGTAACATGGCCATCATTTGATTAATGATATTTTCTCCAATTTTAACTAAGAATTTTATATCTATTCCTTTAACGTAGGCTTTGGTTTCTCTTTACAGATGAATGACATATACGCACATGAAGACATTTTAGTAAAACAGTAATTTATTGTACTTGTTGGAATTATAATATGCATATAGTGATTCAAGAAAAAGGTGATAAGACAAATGTTTTCTTTGAGTTATTGGTTTTCCATTGAACCTACATTTGCAGACTGATGGCCTCCTACATTCCTGGCACTGTACTGGAGGCTAGTGATACAAAGATAAAACATGTCAGGACTCCCAAGGAGCTTGAAAGATGAACACCCCTGACATCAATTTAGAGCATGTTTGTGACAAGTAAAAATAATTCTACAAAACATGAATGTCCAAAGACCAGGAGAGAGCAAGCTGAGCATGTACCCAATCTGCTATCTTATGGCACAGTCCCCAGCCTTCACTGACTAGGATAAAGTGGGCCAAAGCCCTCCCTGACTCACCCTCGTAAAATATGAAGAAGCTGCTTGATGCCTCCCCAGATGCGAATTTCCACACTGGTCTCGGGGTCCTCACAAACCTGCACCAGGATCCAGACGACGCTCCAGAGCAGCTTCAGGTGATCAGAGTGGAGCAGACTGAGGAGGACGGGGACCCCCTCATAGAGCTTCACCTGCTCTTTCACTTGGGGTTCGGCACAAAGTAGGCGCAGCAACTCCGCAGTTAGTCTGCACAGGGAGAGCGACGATGAGAATCGCAGCACAGGGATTAACTTTAATTTAGACTAGCGCTGTCATCACTGCCTGGATCTAACATTTTCTAAATCACAGGTCAACATACGTTTTCTGTAAAGGGCTGGACTACAGCCAAACATTTTTGGCTTTGCTGGTCAAACAGGCTCTGTCATAACTACCCAAATGTGACAATGTGTGCAAAAGCAGCCAGAGACGACACATAAAAACAGATGGGCATGGCTATGTCTCAATAAATCTTTATTTACAAAAACAGGCAGGGAGCCAAATTTAGTCTGCAGGTCACAATTTGCTGACTGCCATTCTAAGTCATAATCTCATTGTATCCCCATTGGTATGGCTAAAAACTTACTAACCGGCAAATAGATGTCAGGTGCATATAATGAGACCTGCATTGTGCTCAAGACAAAAGAAAGAGAAAACCCTTGTCCTGGTCTATAGAAAGTTACTCTGTGGTTGCCAAAACAAGACAATACAAAATGGCAAAAACACTACGATGCAGGGAAATTAAATGAAAATTGTTCAGTGAATATCTAGAGCAATGTAAATATAACGATGGCATAAGACAGGAGGTTTAGCTGAGCTCTGAAACATGATGATGATGAACCATCCTAAACACTCTCCCTGGATAGCATCATCTATTCCCATGGCCTCAAACACTCCCTCTGCTACATAGCTGTTCCATGGGAACTCATCCCACTGTGTCTAAACTCAAAGCCAAAATCTTCCCCCAAATCGGCTCTTCCTCTCACCACCCTGATCTTGACTCATGACGCCTCAGTCTTTTCAATTTTCCAGCCAGAAAATTGGAAATCATCCAACACACTTCCTTCTCCTTTCCCAACCTGCCAATCAAGCGCCTCCGGTACCCTCTATTTCCTGGGCAACTGCTGGGATTAATTCTCTTGTAAGTCATGCAGCTAGCTAACCCCACTGCACTCACCCGCTTCTTGTGATATTTGATTATGCTCAAGGATTAAGGCCCTCTGTCATCTACCTCTCCAATATTCTCATTCCCAGACTGCCTCGCAATTCCTTCCCTCGCATGCAATTTTCCATGGCTCCTCTCCCTCCTCAACGTTTATGCTCTGACATTCAGAACCTGTGTTCTTCGGTAAACAGTATTCTTCCCCTTCTCAAACTTTCTACACAAAACATTCCCTCCTTGTTCTAAATGGATCTCGTTGTGTGGTTATACTCCCCACCCATCAGCCCCCACTCACTGCCATCTGAGTAATGTTCCCATAACATAAATGGGAACATGCTTAAAATCTTTCTGTGAATCCCCATAAAGTTCATGATAAAAACTTCACTATTTATTAAACATGCAGAGCCCATAATGACCTGGCTAACAGTGTTTTGTTGTATCAGCTATAAAATATGGAAATTAATAGGGTTATTGTTCAGATCAAATGAGTGAACGCACAGAAGTGCTTAGCGCAGAGCCTGGCATATGGAAAGCCTGACAAAATTAGCTATATTTTTAACCTATTATTTCAGATATTTTCCCTCCTGTACTCTTTGCTCCAGCTGTGTCCAACCATGCAAGACCTTCTAATACCTACTACTTCATGCCCCCATGTGGGAGCATATCCTGCTTTCGCTTGCTCTCTCCTGCCTAGATAAGCCCTCCTTCCTTCAAGAAACTTGGCATGACTCTCACTGATTGGGGGAGGCTCTGCGCTATGCTGCAGTGTATCCTGTGCCAGCATCAACCACTCCATTTACAGTACTATGATGAAACCGTTGATTTGCATGTCTGTCCCCTCTCCTACACTACACACTTGTATCTTATTCATTTTTGGTTTGCCAACACTTTTGCGGAGGCTGTTTGTTTGGTGAATGAATTCATATAGCCAAGTCTATAAGTGTAGTTTGTGAAAGAATGTTAAATTGGCTTTGAAGAAGAATCTAGGGGGACTTACTATGAGTTAAGTGTTGGGATTCCATCATTTGACTTTCTGTTATTTATTTTTCCTCTTTAAAAAATTATTTACTCAACTAAATAGCGAAGGATGTTGACTGCATCTATTTAAAAACAATTTAATAACTATCTGAATACAGTAAATCTTTAGAGAAATATTTAGTTCAATTGAAAATGATTTAATTTTACTCTAGATTCTGTTTTGAGTTATAACAGATGGTCATAAAACAAATCAGAACCTATTTGAATTTATTTTACTGGCTTTAAGCAAAACAGATTTTAGCAATCTAATCATTTATTTGACACACAACCTGAAATTACTAAAAATAGAGCCAGCTCAGTTTCTTTCCTTAAAGAGACAGGATGCAAATAAATGCAATAAACAAAAAATTAAAGATGTTATCTTAAGATTTCTATAATTTGATTCTATGCCCAAATCTAGAAGTAATGCAGAACCAAAGATAAACTGATACACCACTTTGCTCTACTTTCTTTATAAACTTAAAAAGAAAATAAATCCTAAACTGACTCATGATATTCAGTTAACAATGTAAATAACATGACAAAATTTAAAAAATCATTTTCATCAAATATAAGACATTGTCTTTTTCCCTTTTAGCAATCCTACCTTTTGGAGAGCAAATCGTATTCATGTAAAATCATCAGCAGATTTTCTACAATGTTGAGTTCACTTATCTTCTCCCTACATCCTGGACTACAAATTGAAAACTATTAGTAACTACTAAAAACATAATTCACCGTATTCACTTATTTAATATCCTAGCTCTCATATTATCTAAGGGTGAGAATAAAAATGCAACATACCTCCATAGGGCAAGACTATATCAAATTCCAACATTCAATATATACTACATTTCATAAGTTTAAATTTGTTTAATAACAATATGATGATAATATAGTTCCCTTTCTGCAAAGGGATCATATACTATTCACACAAAAACTAATGATCAGCATTATTCACAACAGCCAAAATATGAAAATGAGCTGTATGTCCTTTGATAGATGAATAAAGAAAATGTGATATATATATATTTTTTAATATAAAAATATATTTAAAGCTCTTTTATTTAAAATATTTGTGACATCTATAAGGGGACAGGTTGTCCAGATTTTTTAAGTGTAAATGAAATGTTTTATATGTTAAAATAAATGCACAGGAGAGAATGAAAAAAAGAAGGTCAGGGAGATTCAGCTGTCAAAAAAAATTGCAGTAATTTCGAAAGCAGAAGTAACTGAGGGTTGGATGAATGACTAGGTAAATATTTCTGTTCAGGAAAAAAAAAGAGAAGATTTTAAACTGTGATTTGCTTTCCTACTTATATTTTAACATGATGCTTTTCCATCTAGGATCCTCTTCAATATATTAATACTTTGTCATGCTTATTTTTCTAAGTAGGTAATAAAGTAACTAGAGAGACTAATCTATTTTGTATCTCTCCCACCTAAATTGCTATAGTAGCAGAACTGGAAAATATATTAAAATATACTTACCTTTCAGCTAAACTAGCCAGAGCCAGAAGGGCTCCCAACAGAACATTACTATCTCGGGCACAGAGTAAATTTACTAATGTCTGGAAAAAAAAAAAAATGAAGTAAAAGAAAGTTTAATCGCATAAGTTCTACAAGCTTCTTGAACAGTATAATGTTTCTTTCTAAAGTTTACTGAGACTTAGCCTCAAAAGGAGTTCTATTAAACATTCACAATAATCAGTTCTTTGCAGGATGTAGGTGTTGATTTCCTCCTTCCTTTGGAACGCTTAACACGAGCACCTTGTAGCCCTTCCTTGCCCAGGACATAAAAGGAAAAGGACCAGGGCGTGGCCAGCCTGGTTCTCACACTTCTATTTCCACATTCTGAAGAGGTCTCCTTTGCCTCCTCTGATTGTCCCCAAGGAGAAGTGGGGAGACTAATGACATAAACACTGGTCATAATAACTAAACACATGTGACTCTGGTGTTGACCAGTCAGCGAGGACACATTCTGCGTAAGGCACTGTGCTAGACACTTTCCAAATTATGGAACTATTTTTCACCAAAATGTTGAAAACTGTCATTTTCTCCCCCAAACTAAGCAAGATATATCAATACTACCAAGCACTCCGTTTGCCTCTCAGACTTCTAATTAATGTTGAATGAATATGAATGAATGCTTCAAGGCATCATCCTGAGGAACATGACTTAGCTGTAAGTCACCTGTATCTTATAAGTTGACTTCTCTGAATTCCCATTAATACAAATTAATTTCTCTTCTCTCTACATTTTCAGAACTCAGCATCCCCCAAACCTACACAGGCAAACACATGCCAGGCCAGAGCTGCAACAACCTGGGATGATTTTTTGGTTTCTACCATGTAGATTTTTTCCCCTTTATGGTTTCATGCATTTTTTTATATATATATAAAGCTATCATTATCTTTGTTTCTCTAATCCTTTCCTCTTTTTCAACTCTTACATTTTCTTTTCTTTCTCTGTCTTCTAACATGTTTTCCAAATTTTAGTCACTGATATATCATTTTCACAATTTTTGCCATGTCCATTTAACACCTCAATGCTACTCAAAGATATTCTTCAATTTCTAAGAAATAACATCAGTGAAATATACAGCTATTTAAATAAAAACTGTTGAGCTGTATATCATTTAGAATCATCCCCTACACAATAAGCAGCATCTTGGACAAATTTGATCTAATATACACTGTAAAGTGACTTCCTGGGATATGAAAACTCAACAGATTATTGAAACTTGGTTCTAGGCAGCTACCATCTATATAGTTTTGCTATAAATATAAATCTAGTCTGTTGGTTAAATATGTTTTCAACCATCTTGAAATGTACAATTGACTCTTATGCTTATAATCCTATACCATCCAATCATAAGGTCAAACCATGTGAAAATGGCCTATAGACTTTGGCAATTCCATGTGGTTCGAACCAAAATAACCTGTAACTCTTTTTGGGGAATGGAAAAAAATATTTTTTTGAAATTGAAATGTTCCAACTATTATGAGGTAGGTATTATTATTAACCCAAATTTACAGACGAAAACTGAATAGTCTCTGATGTTTTAATAGAAATTAAATGAGGCAAAAAATATTTTTACCAAAATCTGCTGTTATGGAAGTCTCTCTTGCCTGAAATAAAGTAAGCTTGCACTCAATAAAAATCTTAAACAAAAATCTTAAACATAAAATTGGGCTTTTCAAGATAAGAATTATGGTCTAAAGTCTTCCTTTCTGGAGCCATGTAGAATGTATTCATGTGTATACATACATTGTATTTGTTTATTTGTGAACACACACCTCCAATCAGTTTATGTATAGCCAGTGTTTTTCAAGCAATTTAAATTAAACAATAAACTTAGCTGGTGTCAAATGGCATAGGAAAAAGAAAAAAGAATTTCAGAAAACTCCTATTTGTTGTTTCCATATTTACTCCTTGGACTGATAAATAATATAAAAGGTTGCCAGAGATTTACGATTTGAGGCAGAGATTTACGATTAGCAGATCTGCGAATCATAATTATATGGAGCTCTGAACCCCAGTCTGTGAACCACTGTCACATGGAGCTGAAGTGCTCCCCCTCTCCAGGACCACTCACCTTGTGGGCTCCGCTTGTGGTGACCCATTCTCTTTGGTCTTTGACAGCAGCAAGTTTTTGAAAAATATCTATAAAGGAAGGAAACAACTCAAAGAGGGTTTTGGAGCTTAAAGGGGGCAGTACTCATAGAACCTCAGGTCTGAAGTATTGATGGGCAAGCAGAAAAAGGGTAAACGGGAAAACAGACAACATAGAAGGAGCACTGGAAGGAGGAGGCTTAGGGTTATTTTTTTTACTCCAAGAATTACCTCTCAAGCTCAACCAGTATTTATTGTATATCACTATTATAACGATGAAATATGGAGATAGCAAAAAAAGGCAAAACTCAAAGTTAAATGAGTTCCATTTAACATAAAGTCTACATAAAGTTATATGAGTTCCTTAACATCATTACAAGTTCAAAGTGAAATCTATTCTTCGAAGATCCTCCCTACAAAGATTTCAACTTCATAAAGAGGAGAGGGAAGCCCAGGGAATGTGATGGACCTAGCGAGGGTCCTCGGCTGAGGGAAACAGTCGTTCTCCAAGAACCTTCCTGGTGCCTGGGGCTCACCACATGCTCTTCTCTCTCTGTAACTGAGAATCAGTGTGCTGTCCTGTAAATGAATACAGGAAACCAGCCTGTTCACAAAGAAAATGGGCTAGCATCCCACAACAGCAGGGCGTCTCTGGCTCATCAAACCTGAAGAGGACAGAAGATGGGGCTGGGAAGAGCCTCCAAAATGAGGAGACTAAGTGGAGAGAGAAGAGCTCACCCACACAGACCCATATTATCATATTATCGTCATCACATTACTTTTTTTTCTTTTTTATGTTCTGAATGTTCCAAGTTTTATGAGGTAGGTATTATTATTAACCCAGCTTTATAGATGAAAACTAAACAGCCTGTGACATTTTAACAGAAATTAAAGGAGGCAAAAAATATTTTTACTACAATTTGCTGTTACAAAAGTCTCTCACATTAAACAAAAAAGCTTGTGCTCGATGAAAATCTTCTTAAACATGAAATCGGGCTTTTTGAAGTAACAGTTGTGATCTAAAAGTCTTCCTTCTGGGTATATTTTAATACTGAATGTAACAATTGGCATGGACTCTCAACACTATAATTGTGTATGGACACACTCATAAATAGTCAATGTACTCCTTTTCCTGCTGCAAACACCACACTGCTTATCCTAGCAAGTGCAGAGAGTTGTCTGTGTTCCCACAATAATGCTTACATGTCATGTTGACCAGCTTGTCCACACTGTGCTGCTCCTCTCCATAGCTGAGGTACTCATTGGCCACAATCTCCATGTACTGCAGCAGGGACCAAACCAACAAGCAAGTCAGAAGAGAAGACATCGAAAACAGGCAAGCAGGTGAGGAACGAGATTGTGCACTTCTGAAAATGAACTGTAGGTGGCGTAACAGATTCACCAAATAATAGTGCTTCTGGGCCTGGTTAAGTGCAAAAAGTGTTTGGGTTTCTGGATTCTCTGCTTTCTTTCCCATGCCCTGAAATTGAGGCAGGGACCGTGTAAAGAATGTATAAACTCTCAAAAGTCCCAAAATGACTTGTAAATGAATAAGTTTGTGGTGTGGTTTAGTCTCCAAATGTAAGATATAAATAAGATGCAGAAAATATCATATAATATGTAGAATTTTAATCATTCGATGTACATTTTTAGAATTTTTATAACACATTGATATATTGTATTGATCTTATGTTTTACAGCATCCTAAGTTATAGCTAATCAGCAAACAATCAGATAGCAAAAACAAGAATAAAGTGGCTATGGGGAAGTCTGATTATCCCTAACAGTAGCTAATTGATTACAATAAGAAGAAATAGGCTCAGGGAAACACATAAATTTCTGACATAATGGAAGTTAAAGTGGACAAGAAGATCCTTTACAATATAATTTTATGAAAGACTATTCATTAAATGAGGTAACTCTCCAGCCATTTTTTTAAATCTTAAAAACAAAAGCCATATATATGTTGTATCAAGTTTCCAAGAATAAAAATAGATTTAACATTAAATTGCCATTAAACATAATCTTCCTTTAATAATTCAGAATGAGTTTGTAGAGTCATTTGCTTATTATGAAAATCATTCTTTTGTACATGATATAGGTTTTAGGGGAACAGACTGTTCCGACACAGTGCCATGCCACATTTTATCGTATTAATAAACTCAAATACGTGACTGAAAAATAAATGAAGCCAAGGTCATTCCTCACAGCGTCATTTACTTGCTAATATTTTAGTGAGCACAGTAGTCGTATTAATAAACTCAAATACGTGACTGAAACGTCATTTACTTGCTAATATTTTAGTGAGCACAGTAATTGTTTTCTGTGTCGGTGAGAAAGTTATGAACATCTTCATAATCACTATTTTCTCCCATCGTTTGGGATATGCCATGTTGAGGACTTAGACCTGCCAGACAAGGCCTACCTCTTTTCATTACTAATTAATGACATGTGACCTTTCATAGCGCTTTCTCATTTCAACAGGCTGGGTAAAGAGAGCCATATTCAGCCAGAACAAAATATCATGGGTCCCACCCTGCTCCGTGAGCATCCTGCCTCGCACTCACACCCTGCCTGTTTCTCCCCTTGGCAGGCAGCCTGAGGTAAGAAAGCCATCTTCTGTCACACACCTATGTAATCCTCGCCCAGTGCTATGGCATAAAATGGAAAGGCAAGACCAGCTACCGCAAAAGGAATCTTACCTGAGCTAGGTTTTCAATACCGCCCAAGCTATGGAGTATTTCCTAATAAAATAAAAACAGGACATACATAAATATGAGGGTGGAGAGAAAAGTGTATTTTACATGCAATTTCTTTATTAAATCATGAGATCTGTAATTATTTTTTTGAAAGCCTACATTCTAAGGTAAATATAGAAAACTTTAATGCTTGTCATTCATACTACATTTAAGATAAACTGTTAATAAAAATGAAAATTGGTTTGAGATTCAGAGAATGTAAATATGCTCAGAACGACAGCCTGACTCCTCATTCTTTTTACTTCCTCCCATGTCGTCATAAAATGTTAAAGCTGAAAAGTACTGTTAGGTAGTATCGTCTCTAACTCCCTTTATGTCATGTGGCAGATCAGGAAAACTAAGATCCGGAAAGGTAAACCATTTCGCCCAAGTGAGAAGCCAGGATAAGAATCCAGCATCACCAAATTCCCAGGGCCTTCCTCTAGGTCTCTGCCTAGTGAGGTCCACAGACCAGCAGCATCAGCCTCCCCTGGAAGCTGACTAGATATGCAAACTCTTCTACTCACCCCAGACCTACTGAATGACACTGAATTTCACTGAGACCCCAAGGGAATTCTTATGCAGGTAAAGTTTGAGAATCACTGCTGTAGTAGTAGACTAGACTATAGGGCTTCTTCTTAAAATGATTACGCTAATGGTCTTACTAAACCTATACTCTAAACCAATGAAAGGATGATTGTTGCAAAAAGTCTCCTGACACAGATCTTTAAATCCAATTCCTAACAAGAAGGCATTTCATGACACTTCCGAAGCTGCCCTAAAAGTGCTAAAATGGGGAAGAGAAGGGGTGGGAAGTTGGAGTCTTGAAAGGGACCAGCTTGCAACTCTGAATAGCAAATGCCCCCAGGTTATCCACACTAACACTTTTCTCCAGGCGAAAGTATTTCAGGTGGCCCTAACCCATTGGATTAAAACTGTATTGACCTCTCTCTTCTTACTTAACGTGCACACAAGGAAGTTATTTGAAATATAAACATTAGCCATCACTCCAATTCTGGGAAATGCCTGGGGATGAGTACGTAAGTGTGAGAGAGAATGATCCAGCTCCACCAGGAAGCCAACTGAGTGGGCAGGCTGGGAAAACGTCTCAGTTTCTCAGGGCCTCCTGGGTCAATGTTTCTTTACTCTGTGTGAAGTGAATTTGGAAACACTTAAACATATCCATGTTTAAATTAAGAATGGAGGGACATGTATAACTCAATTAAAAATAATTCTGCAACTACCTACTAATTTGAATTCTCATCATTGCTATTTACTCTAGAAAGCTATCATTAATGGTCATAAGAATACTGTATACATTAACCCTAATTATGGCAAGATATTTTATACATGTAAAAATAAATATACCATTTTAAAACTATTCATATTTATTCAACAAATATTTCTCTTTCATTCCCGTTATGTACAAGCCCTGGCTTAGGCTCTCAGAAGGACACAAATGTGTAGATGACAGAGGCCTCCTTCACTGAGATTTAGGCCAAGCCTAAGGTACACATACAAATAACTGGAATTTCAAACAGAATTTGGTCAGTGTTATAAGAAAGTTATACATGAAGTGCTATGATTCCCCAGAGGAGGGATCCTGTCAAGAGGACCAAGGAAAACTTCAAAAGGATGGTGGCCTCTGAATGGGCTTAGAAAGGTACACCACAAGCCTCCAATGGGAGAGCTAGCGTGGAACTTTTTCTAAACGTCAGTAACAGAAGCACACATCCTTTCATCAAATACTTATTAACTCCTATGGAACATACTTTGAGAAGCGCTGTTATAAAATATAAAAAGGCAAAGAGGCTTTGTTATTCTCAGAGAATTTTGTTGCTATGTACTCAAGAATTTACCCTTCATTTACGAAATAAGCATTTTCCCGCATGCTCCTACAGAGAGCATGCGGGAAAATGCTGGAGCAAGGCCATGAGACTGCTCACAGACCCACGGTATTTCTTATATTTCCTTTGGTTATACGTGAGAGCATCCCACTGGAGAAAAGCAAGACCACAAGGTATGCACACACCTGGGTTTAACAGTTCTAGTTACTGATCTGAAAAGCAAATACGACTGCATGCTTAGATTGCAGCAATGCCTCCCACATGCCCTTTCAGACCTCAGCGTTTCCTCCCTGGTCACAGGCTGGACGGTCACAAGACTGCGTTCTGTACTTCTGAGCCTAATGACCTGGAGAAGTCCCCTGGTCAATCTGACCTTCAGTTCAATGTGCAAAATGTGAACAAATGTCTTTGTTCTGCCTATTCTCTGAGTTTTTCCTTTAAAAAAAAAAAAATTGATCAGTAACATAATACAGACACAAAGTATGTCTAAAAAAAAAAAAAGAGCACACTGCAATGCCAAAAGTTGTTGTTAGGACATCACTTATTTTTTACCACGGACAAAAATGTCAGTGCCATGAGACACGCTCATCCTAAAACTACTTGGCAACTAAATCAATGCCGAACACACTGCAGCGGGCCTCTGACATTGAATCATTAACATGATCATGTTACTCCTCTGTTCAAAACCTATCAGTAGCTCCACACTGCTACTTAAAACTCCACCTTAAATCTCTATCAGTTTTAAGGACCCTTTGTGCACTGGCCTTTAACTTATCCCAGGTGCAATAGTAACTACTCTTCTAAAAGGTCTGGCATATTATATTTGTAGGAACGAGTAAAAGTTTCCTACTGTGGAGTATGGAGGAAAGGTGGTACCAAGGAAAGAGTCAAGAAATGATTTTGAAGGTTCAAGGGGAGAGGAATAATTGAGGTCCATTTTCAAGTCATTGAGTGTCAATGTGCTACAACAGTGGTTTCGAGTCAACGTGCTACGACAGCGGTTCTCAAACTCTTTGGTCTCTGTACCCTTCTATGCTCGTTAACATGACTTAGAACCCCAAAGAGTTTTGTTTATATGGGTTATATCTATTTATATATACCATATTGGAAATTAAACATGAGAACACACAAGCACATGTTCCATCAGCCATCAGAGCCATGACATCATCACACATTCAGCAGCCTCCCGAAAACCCCACTGTACACTTGTAAGAGTGTGACAGCAAGAAGGCAAATAATATCTTAGCATTATTTTGAATATAGTTTTCATGCTGTTGAACCCCTGAAAATGTTTCAGAGACCTGTGACATTGAGATGGCTGTCCAACATATCCCTGGAAATTTGGGGCTTAAATTAAGGGAAATGTTGGAGAATGGAGATATGTGTTTGTGGGCAAAGAATAATGACAGCAACAACAACAACAAAAAATGATAGTTGGAGGAAGATAGGGAAGAAGATGACAAAGAAGAGAACTCTGGAAAGGTTAACATTTAGGAAAGCAGAACAACGACAAAAAAAATGCTGAGGAAGAGCTAGAGGTTCACAGGATCAAGTCACGGAAATTTCAAATGGGGCTAATCGGGAATTGGGCTCAA